ATTTAATTGACCCAATTTGTCAGTTCCCACAATCCACTACAGCATAAGTTAACCACACAGATTTAGTACACATCAAACGCTAAAGCGTGGTTGGCTGGTCTGTAGTACGGTGTGATGTGCGACCAAGAGGAGCTAAATATATAGCACCAGCCCCTATCGGCCAGACTACTACGGAATTCGGGAACCTTTTGCGTTTCGGATCTTTAATCCTGCCCCACCCCCGGGAGAAACCGGCAAACAAATAAGGCCAACAACCCAACCCAGCCCCGTCCCGTCCCGTCAAGCACCCACCGCTCAGAATCGCGGCCATCGAAGAAAACGAAGTCGCCGCTCCGGACGCACTTGGCGCAGGTCAGGCGGCGGCGCGTGCTGTTGCAAAGGGGGCAACGCTCCACGGCGACATAGAGGCCCTCGGCCCCGGCTTCCGCTTCCGAAGGGTAAGGCCCTTCGGCGGCGGCGGCGGCCACAATACCGGGTCGCCGCCAGCTCGGGCCGGCCCAACCGTCGCCCCTGGAAGACGCCATATTGCTGACGGGCTAGCGGCAGGCCGGCGGTCACGTGGGACTTTGTTTTCAAACAGAGGCACGATGGGAAAAAAGGCGGGGAGGAGCAGCACGTGCTGAAGGTCGGGGGCGGAGCTAAGCAAAACCGCGGAGGCTGAGCTACGTAGGGGAGGAAGTCGGAATGGCGGCTTTTTCTCAGTTGGAGCCTTGAAAGTTACCCGGAGAGGTCTGAACGAGTGCGGTACGAGCAACTGGGCAGAAAGCAGGCGTAAAAAGAAAAAAAAAAAGACTGCGTTCCCATGACGTACTAAACCACCGACCGATCGAGTTAATTGTAGTTTCATCGTGTTCTGCGTGCTCAACTTGCGTGGTTGGTTTTGAATTCAGTGCATGGTAAAAATCCTCAAAATTGTTAATCAAACCACGAATAAACATGTTTTGCTTTTTTTAAAAAAAAAGCCCATGGAACATGCAGATTTTTATTTCTGGTCGAGTTTTCGTGCATGTTATATAGGCCTGAGAGAAACATCTGCGATTTAACTTTAATGTATGTTGATTAGTGTACATTTAAAGTGACAGTAATGTTTCTGTTCTACATTCTATACTATTCTATTCATTTTTTTTATTTACAGGACTTATATGGCTGTGTATACTTTACTCCTGTATTTCTTCCTTGCCTCCACTTTCTACAATAGGGCTAGAAATCTGCTCTGCAAAAACATTCGGAGTAACCTTTAGAACAGTGGTTCTCAACCTTTTTAATGCCGCGACCCCAACTGGTCGTAAGTCGAGGACTAAACCGGCCGTAAGTCGAGGACTAAACCGGCCGTAAGTCGAGGACTACCCAACCGGTCGTAAGTCGAGGACTTTCCCTGCCCGGGAGCGCCGCACATGCGTGGCTCCGCCCCCTGTGCCGGCCAAGGCGTAGCTGGCAAGCGGCAGAGACGGAGCAGACCGACCACCAGCTGGCCCAGCCCAAGGGAGGTAAGGCACCCGCCGGAAAAGGGAAAAAAAATGGCGGACAAAAAAAATGGTGGACAAAAAAAATGGCGGACAGCCTTGCTTGGCGACCCCCATGAAATGGTCGATCAACCCCAAATGGGGTCCTGACCCACAGGTTGAGAACCACTGCTTTAGAAGGCAGCAATGGGTTACAGTTATTTTTATCTCTCTAATCAATTGTATGGTTGTTCGGGTCCCCCCCCCCCATGACATCTGTTAGCTCAAATTCAGATGTTAAAACAAAAGTATTAGATCAAAGTAAACAGAACTCAATGAGCTTGCAACCAAGATCACATAACCAGAATTAACTACAGGTAGTCCTCGACTTACAACAGTATATTTAGTGATTATTTGAAGTTACAACAGCAGTGAAAAAGTTGATTTTTCACACTTATGACCATTGCAGCATCCCCATGGTCATGTGATTTACATTCGGATGCTTGGCAACTGACTCATATTTATGACCGTTTTAGTGTCCAGGGGTCATGTGATCCTCTTTTGTGACCTTCTGACAAGCAAAGTCAATGAGGAAACCAGGTTCACTTAACAACGGTGTTACTAATTTAAGAACTGCAGTGATTCACTTAATAAATATGGCAAGAAAAGGCATAAAATGGGGCAAAACTCACTTAACAAATTTCTCACTTAGAAACAAAACTTTTGGGCTCAGTTGGGGTTGTAGGTTGAGGACTACCTGCATAATTAAATGTCCTGATTTAAACATGGTAAGTGATGATCTCATTAAGATTTATTGAAATCAAAGCCAAATAAACCACTCTAGGCAGCTTACAATCAATCGCTCTTAGGCAATTACATATTTATTTAGCACTAAATCATTACTTTATATTTTAGTTTATTTTATGCAAAATAATTACATGGAGGTTACTCCACACTGAATTCAATTTAAATAATTTTCAGTATGCTACTGAATTCATGTATTTGAATACTAACATTCAAAATTTTTCTGAGCTACTGTATATTTACAAATATGTGATGAACATTAAATGAGACAAAACTAAGGCAAGAAGCTATGTCCATCAATTACTATGTATAGGTTTGAAATACTAGAACATTGCTATATATACAAACTTTTTTATTCTTTACAATTTTTCAAAAAAATAACTTAAGTGACTTTCTTGAAACCTTTTAAAATTGGATATATGTTTTCAAATGCTTCATATATTTCAGAACGGTCTTTGGCACCTAAAAATAATTTGAGAATTAGTTTTAACTACATTTAATTTCATCCCACTACAAAAAGCATGTTCTTAACCTGCAGTTCTGTACCACTAACTTGGGGAATAATGGAATGTATTTGTATTTCTATATAATAATATATAGGTGTGCATATTCAGATATATGAAAATGCTTTTAACTTAATAGAATTAAAGGTGTTCCTAAAAATCAATAGGAAATTGCTTTCCTGAATTTAAGATTATTTTTCTGTATCCTGCATTCTGGGGCTACAGGCAAGACTATGACTTACTTATTATCATTTTATTTATTTTGTTAAATTTAGAGGCTGCCTGATTCCAGATCACTCTGGATGGCGTACGTGATCAATTAAAAGACAAAAACAAAGAAAGAAAAAGAAAGAAAAAAAGAAAAAGCATGAAAAATCTTGAACTTCCAGATAGATAAATATAATGTTCCAAAAATACCTAAAAAAAACACAAAAAACCATGAGAGGGGCTTAGTAGCCATCCTACCCTGCCAGGCCTGGGACCAAAACCAAGTTTTAAGTGACTTTCAAAATGTTGGGACAAGAACTGTACATATCTTCAGAGGGATGCAATTCCAGAGAGCAGGCACAATATAGAAATCCCATTTCCTACATCCCAATAGATGACACTGTTTTTGAACTGAAAGGACCTGGAGTGCACCCACTCTGCTCAGTCTTATTGGAGGGCAGACTTTATTGGAGGTAAGTAGATCCTCAGATGCTCAAGCCTATGCTCAAATTGTTCTTTGACATGTTCAGATGATGGGACATGTTCAGATAATGAACTAAACTAAATATGGAATTTCCTCAGTCTCCCCTGCTCTTCTGTGCACATGTCCTAGTGCAATGTCCAGAATGTTGAGGCATTCAGTGAATATTGACTAATGGTGAATGGAACAAATATTACTTCCCTTGATTTGGAAATTATATTTTTACTGATGCAACATATAATTACGGTTTTTAAAGTCAGCAGACACATATAGTACTGCTGACTCATATTCAGCTTGTGATCAACTACAATTGGAAGTTCCTTTTTACATATGCTATAATCCAACCTTTTTGTCTACCATTATTGCTTTCTTTTGCCTACGTGAAGAACTTTTATGTTCATCTCTATTATATTTCATTATGAATTTATTATAAAGTAGGAAGTACATCTATCATCATTTTTTAGAACTCTTACCGACCTTTGAAACCAACTATGATATCCTTTCTAGGCCCCCTCCATGGTTGAGGATTGGGGATACTCTGTTACGAAGTTTCTTGGTGGACAGTTCCAATTGGGGGGATAGGAGAGATCAAACCAATGGCTATTCCTCTGTGTGTGGGAAGGGGATGGTTGCCCCAAGGGTCAGTTCTCTTCCCTTCCTATTTAACATTCATATAAAGCCATTGGAAGAGATAATCCAAACTTTGGACATTTATATCAAGGTAGTGATAATGGCCAACTTTACACTGTTACCTCATGCTAGACTGATAAGGTCTGCATGAGAGAGAATGGGCTTAACTGAAGTTTAGTAAGATGGAGTTACTATTGTCCATTGGGATTTATTGTCTGCTCCAGAGATGTCTCTTGATGAGATGCCACTATTCCTGAAGGAGATAGTATGATTTGGGGTTCTGGACTCACAGCTCCTGTTAGAACAGGAGATGGGAGACTGTGGCCAGAATGGACTTTTTAAGCTTTGATTGGTGTGCCAGTTGCCAACATACCGGAGTGGGAGGAACTTTCTACAATGATTGATTCCCTCATCACCACCATCTTAGACTATAGCAATGCACTCAACATGGGCTACCTTTGAAAGTCACTTGTGAGCTTCAGTTGATTCAGAATGCAGCTTTCTGTGCATTCTGTTTGGCAATAGCATTAGCAATAGCACTTAGACTTACATACCCCACTTCATAGTGCTTTACAGCACTCTCTAAGTTTACAGAGTCAGCTTATTGCCCCCCAATACTCTGGGTCCTCATTTATCAACCTTTGAAGGATGGAAGGCTGACTCAACCTTGAGCTGGTCAGGATCAAATTTCTGGCATTGTGCAGTTAGCCTGCAATACTACATTCTAACCATTGCACCACCACGGCTCCTCAATGGGAGCACATCGCAGCACTATTGTGGGGCCTGTACTTGTTGCCAGCAAGTATTAAAGGGGTTATCTAAAGTGCTGTAACTATCTTATAAAATCCTAAGTCCTCTACAGTAGGGGTCCCCAGCCCCTGGACCGCAGCCCATTACCGGGCCTCAGCCTGTTCAATATTGGGCTGTGGAGAGATGGGTAAGTGCATGCTCATGAACCTGCACTTATGTGAGCGGAGGACTATTGCATTTGCTGTGAAATTCCACGTAAGTGAAGGGTGCTTTTGCTTGTGTGTGAAGCTCCATGAGTGGAGAGCATGCGCATGCCACTCACACAAATGGAGCTGTCCATGTGCGTGTACGCCTGCTACTCAGACACACACCCCACGCCAGGCCACCAAGCCAGAAAGGTTGGGGACCGCTGCTCTACAATAGAGGTCCCCAACCTTTTGGCACCAGGAACCGATTCCATGGAGAGAAATTTTTCCGCGGACCGGAGGGGGCATGGTTTTCTGTGCTGCTTGCATCTTGTGGATGGGGCTTTGCTTGTTTGTGAGGCCCGGTTGCTGGCATGCTTCGGCCTGGTACTGGTCCATGGATCGGGGGTTGGAAACCCCTGCTCTATAGGACTGCATTCTCCCATTGGAATTTGCCTAGACAGTTCAATTACAGTATCCAACAATTGAAAGTGCACATAACTTAAAGTTGTGAAAATTGAGAAACACCAGTCTAAAAGAATAGCTTCATTCAGCTCCAACAGTCTCCTTGAACCACAAGTTTGGCGGTACATAAATTTGATAATTATAAAAATAGTAATATAAGAAAGAAAAATATGCCCTGCAATGTTTGTGTATGTGTTAGGGATGCAGAAACAGACTGCTTATATACAACTTAATCACTTACCAGTTAAAACAACTTTTCCAGACACAAAAATAAGCAGTACAATTCTTGGTTTGACCATCCTGTAGATAAGCCCAGGAAACAGCTCTGGTTCATAACTATAATTTTCAGAAAAAAAATTAAGATAGACAAAATTTACTACCTATGAGCCAACAAGTTACCTTTTAGAAATTTCTTCAATTTTTTTTTAAATAGCTTTGGAATTTGTAGTGCCTAAAAAATACAGTCTGTTCTTCCCTGCTATTGGCTCCTTTTAACTCTTTATCCTGTCCCATTCCCTTTATCAATGACATTCTAATTCCTTAGTTTGCTCTTTGACAAGCAAAAATTACATGTAAAAATGGTTTGTACCTCAATTTTTATACTTACAATCAAGTAAGTTACTTCAGTTTGCATAATTACAATAGGAAGGCTGTACTCTTAATTAACTGGATATCTCCTTTCAAAAACACATTTTAAAAAAGTCAACTGACAGCCACTTCGTTTACATTCTAGAAAATAGCCTAGAGTCTTTCTAGTACGTGGCATATAAATTGTAGTGAATACATTTTTAAAATGCTGGAGAATGACTTTGTTCAAACACCAATAGTGCTACAGCATTTTCCCCTGAATAACATCTCTATATGACAAATTCCTTATATATTGGGATAGCTGTGGGTTCATATTCTGTACAAAGCCTACTACTTTGGTCATGCTGCCTCATGTTTCATAGTGCCATCCATATTTTCTGCCCTATCAGATTTTAATATGCTTTGGAAACTGGTAACTGTGCACTATAAAGTAAAGTAGCAGCCTCAAATATAATTTATATTTTAAATAATATATCTGAGCCCTATACAGACCTTCAATCTAAGAAAATAAAATGGAAGTGAGATGTTGTAGTGCATGAAGAATGTAAATGCAGCTCCTGTTTTGTGACCCATTAAAGCAATTGCATCAGTTTCCAGGGTTGCAGATACCACCCTAAAAAAAAAGACAAGGCTGCTTTAATCAGCTACAGAGGCTGCATTTGCATTTCTGAATGTTTTGAAGTATCTTTTCCAATAGAAATTGAAGCATTAAACAACCCTAGTAACAATATGTCCACCTTCACATTAAAAAGAGAAAGGTAAAATGTTGTTAAAATGCCTTGAAAATGGAATGACCAGCCTTTTTCTAGAATTTTCATAGCCCACACCCCAATTTCCACATATGCCTCCTGCCCCAAATGTGGACATTTATCCAATGTGTTGCCCTGAGTGCTCAAGCTGAATAGAAAAGAGGGATATAAATAAAAAAAAGTGTCCAAGTAAGTAATACTAGTTGGTGAAATCCTATCTGGTTGTATATGGTTCTCTTGAAACAAACCTAAATGGGATGCACAGAAAAACAAAATGGAAGATGGTGATTTCAGAATATTTCAGAAAAACACATCAGACCCAGCCAACATGAGCATTTGCACTTAGATTAGTAAGACAACCCAGGACTTTTTGGCAACAAATTCTGATTTTTGTAAGAAAGAGCAAATAGCACAATCTTGTGAGATCATTCAGATCCTGAGTTTCCAAAGTCATCATTAATTGAGAAACTGGGCAACAGTTTTTGCATGGATAAATATAACTGCTTTCTCTTAGAAGACAGCTAGTTGATGCCATAAGCTCTTTCATTATATGCACCACAGAACAGCAAAAACCCAAATGCCAGTCTTTAGATCTGAAGCAAAAGGGCACATATTCCAGAATTCAGCAGCCTCCCAAGACTATTTAGCCAACCTATCTGAACAATCAGTAGAAATACTATTTTGATACTCATCTGCCTTTCCCAACTTTAGGTCCCACCCACCATCTCAACCAGCAAGTGAATGGTCAGTTATGATGGAAGCCAAAGTCTTCCTGGTGCTTTTTCTCCTTGCACACACATGGGGAGAGACATACCTGGTGAATTGTTGATGAGTTAGAACTAATCCTTCTAAGCGGATGGGAAATCTCACATCACAACTGCCCACCATGTTCTGTATTTTGAAATCCAGGAATTTTGCAGGAAATCCGAGCTTCTGTACCACGCGAGCATATTTTCTGGCTGCCAGTCGTGACTGCTCTTCACTGCAAATTTACAACAAGCATTAAAAAACAAAGCCAGCCAGCAAAGCTTTACGACAAGAGTGAGTAATTTCTATTCTCTTAGTCACCTGTATTCTCCCCAACCGGTTATTTTGGCTTCTGAAGGTTTCTCATGCCACAATTGCTAGAAATATCTATCATAGTTTCCTGCTATTGAACAAAAAAATTGGAGTGCTGTCAGGCACCAGCAACCAGAACTACTCAAAATAGCTTGAGTCAGGGACTTTATTGTTTATCGACTACAAAAACCTCACCAGACTGCTTTTCTTCCCCTGGGAATGACCAGGTAAGGCCTCATGGACTTTGGGGGAGATCAAGTTTATGCCACTTGCCATTGCACAATGACTCAAGCTATTTTCTTGAAACCAATTGCTGCTGTTAAATGAGCAATACCAGTACAGATCCTTTCATACTCAGCCGAACATGTCACTGTCCATGCTAGCTGATGATCTATGGGAACTGTAGTTCAACACACCTGGTAAGTAGCAGGTTTGGGAAGATTAATTAACCCTAATGTGGTGGAATATTAAAGAACATTTCTATTTTTTTTTTAAATGGAATTTCCAAGGGCCCTATATTTGACAATGCACTAGTTGGTCTTGTGGCACTAAATAAATAATCGATATTCCCAATGCAATAAATGTACATGTACTTATTGCCTTAAAAAACATTTAAAAGATGTTGGCTGTTTCTTAGGATGGTTACAGTGTTGTCTGATGCCCAGCCTAAACTAGATGGAGTTTTAATGGTCTGAATCAATCACATTAGCCTTATATCACAACAATCCTATCCTTAGATGAGGAATCTTGTAAAGTTTAGCATTCCTACCTTTTGGCTCCCGTGCACACCATTTTACCAGAACTAAATATAAGGGCAGTTGTTCTTGGTTCTCTAATTCTCATAATTACAGCAGCAAATCTCTAAAATTCAGAAAAATCCATATTTAAAATCCTTTTAAAACTATATTAGTCATTGTATGAATATCTATTTATTTGTATCTTGCTATTATTATTTTTTACAAATAACTCAAGGTGGTGAACATATATATCCAGGACTCTTTCTTCTTTCTATTCTCTCCACAACAGCAGCCCTGTGAGGGGAGTTGGGCTGAGAGTGAATTACTGGCCCAAGGTCACCCATCTGGCTTTCATGGCTAAGGAAGGACTAGAATTCATAATCTCCTGCTTTCTAGCCTTAATTGCTAGACCATTGAAAACCATAAACATTTTTCTTCCCATTCTATCCTTATTTTGAGATTGCTTCAATAGTTGCAAGTGACCTTACTGGCCTGGGAAAATACAAGCCCTTACATAAATAGGTCTCTCCTTATAAAAGATAGCTTATAAACATTGTCAATGAAGTCTATAATAAAAAATGTGAATGTAGCCTTTTATCTATTCAAATGATTTATATGTCTTGATATATTTGGACTTACCAGGCCTGTGAGGACTATCCAGCTAATTGAGACCAAGGGATTGCCTCTTTTCAAGAGAAGTCTAGTTCTAAATAGGTATCAAATCTAGCCAAATTTACATTAAGTCTGATTTCTTTCTTTGTTCTGACATTTAATTAGACAAACATCTAACATTATTATTCTCTATTCAAAATTAGGAAATGCATAGCCTCAATTTTGCTGACCATTCTTTAGATAGGCAGGAAATTATTATTTTTATTTATAATCTTTTGGTAGTCTGTTAATCTGCAACATCTCCTTGAGAAAGCATTCATTTGTAGCAGACTAGCACCATTTTGTGATCTATTTTCTTTTGTGATTTTCAGGGCTTTTATATTTAATTTTTTCAAAAAATAAAGTTTGATTTTCTTAATCTTTGATGGGCTTGAAACATCTAATCAGATACAGTACCTCTATGCTTCTTACCCAAACAATAATATTATTTACTTTTAATTACCAGAAAACATTAAACTTTCTCTCGGAGTCCAAAGTTAAAAGTATGATACCAAATGTGACGTTTCCTGGTAGTTACAGCAAGAACTACCAAGCTGTTACCCCAAAGCAGGAAACAGACCAGTGTGAATTGGCTTGCTGGAGAGGAATTTGAGACCCACTGCTCAGTCACATTCATTAACAAGGTAGAAATTGTGTGGGCTACATACAACTGGCTTGGAACATGCAGGGCAGGATGTTCCAAAGTGTTTTTTTCCAAAAGACAACTGAACTTTGTTTTTTACTTTGAAAATGTTTCGCTTCTCATCCAAGAAGCTTCTTCAGTTCTCTGAGTTCTCAGTTCTCACAACTTGAATTCTCAGAACTGAAGAAGCTTCTTGGATGAGAAGCGAAATGTTGTCAAAGAAGAAAGTCCAGTTGCTTTTTGGAAAAAGCACTTTTGGGACAACCGTGACCTGGATGACTGAGTATCCCTATAGACATGCAAGGCAGAAATTAATTTTTCAATAAAAGCAGGGAAGAATAGGTCAGATAGCAGAGGGAGTGGGATAATATAGACTAGCACAACAAATTGCTCTTCGGTTATAAAATATAAGTGGAAGTAGAGTTGACTTTCCAGACTCCAAAAAATACTGCTTTGGGCAATCGTATCTTTTGAGCTCAGTAAGATATGCTAGCCAAGGCTTGGAGATGTTATGGGGTTGTCAGGGGTGTGTCTTGTGTTCTATAGGCAGCCTTCTATAGCAGAAGAATAGCAGAGTGAATATAGATAAGAAATGAGCAAACAAAGCATGGCAATTATAAGTAGACATTCACTGGCCAGGACACTACTATGAAGCCACCTTGGAAAAAGCAAACTTAAAGAGAATCTATTTAGGCCAAGCAATTGCTTGAAACATATTTAGAGAGGTCAGAGTTTGAAGAGAAGCAGCCTCAGAGGTGGGGGGGGGGGAATCCTTAGATGAGAGAGAGAACTGGTGCTTACCTTTGGATTATATTCTGCATTTCTGGCTTGAAGGGCTATATTCTTTAGGTCCAATTTGCAAGCCAAATTTACAGTGGCTACTATGTTCCTGGTAGAACAACAGGGACAAAAAAGCCTTTAGGAACTTTACATAAAAGGAGTGCAATAACATAAGTAAAAACAGTTTCTTTTTCATTTTTCTTTTTACTCCAGGAGTCATCACAGGCTCTTGAATTCTTTTTTGTTAAATATTATTTTATTGTTTCATTAAAAAGCATAAGTAGTACATTGTATTATTTGGGTACAGTGGTATTTATCCTGTGTTATCTTGAGCAGCGGCCCTCAACTTTTTGAGCACCAGGTTCTGTGGAGAGAGGTTTTTCCGTGGACCGGAGGGGGCATTGTTTCGCATGCTGCCTGCATCCCGTGGATGGGGCTTCGCTTGTTTGTGCGGACTGTTTTCTGGCATGCCCTGGATGGGCGCCTGTCCATGGACTGGGGTTGGGGACCCCTGATCTAGAGATTATCAACTCTTTGATAATTCAGGGTTATCTGATTCTTACAGCATTTCCCTACTTGTGCCTAAATGTGGCACAACATTTCTGTCCTGGAAACATATTTTTTTCTAATGACAAAACTGGTACCAGCAACAAGAGAGAGCAAATTTCTTGCTGATATGTTTTTCTGCCAACACAAAGACTGATAGATAGCAATGGGGCTAGACTTGATGATGTTCTAGTATCCACAGCATATACTTTGCCATGTTAAGGCTTTTCTTATTAGTTTTGCTAAGATGTTATCAAGGTGAAAAATCCACATACTGCTTACCGTAATCTTTTCAAGAAGTCTGCTGAATCTAAAGATATGATTAACAGTGTCTGGTCCTCAACAGAATTGTTGAAAACCATAACCCAAAATTTGACTCTACCGAACTGTCTTTTTGCCTTCTGACAGTTCTCTTTAAAAAAAAAACATTTTTAATTATAATGTTTAATTGCAATACAAGCAAAAAGAATCAAAGGATAGATAAGGAAAAAAGGAAAAGAATTATGACTTGTGCCCTTCATTCTTTATTTATTTTATTTATTTATTTTATTTATTTAGATTTATATCCCGCCCTTCTCCTTGCGGACTCAGGGCGGCTAACAACCGGGTAAAAATACAAAAATATCACACTACAAATTTAAAAATTAATTAAAAGGGAAATATTAGTAATTTGGTCTAATTAAAATTATAATTAAAACCCCCTCTAAAAGTTTCCCCTAGGCCAGTCCCGCAAGCTGGAATAACCATGTCTT